CCCAAACATTCAGCTTATATATGCATATATTAGATTCATTCTATCTATTATAATTTTCGAGTAAATCAATGAAATGTGAAAACACTGCTTTTTCGAACGTTCTTATTTCAATTCTTCAACTTTGAATGCGTATTATAGCAATATGGATAAGAGCACAGGAATGTGTCTATACTTGCTGGATTCCCCAAACATTCAGCTTTCATATGCATATATTGGATTCATTCTATCTATTATAGTTTTCGAGGAAAACATACCGAAAGTACCAAAAGTATGAAAATTTTCAAAGCCATATTCTAAAAGAAAAAGAAATGAAAAAAATCAATACAAATTACAGCAAAATATAAAACAAACAAAAAAAAGTTGTGCTCATCACAAACAATAATTAATTGTGTGTTATTTGTGCAATTTGAATAATTAAATAGTGCATAAGTAAACAATCATTCAGATATTTTTACAGACAATTACGTAAATCATTTTATAGCGGCCTTATTTTTCGTTTCATTTTTGATTGTATACTAAATTTAAGCATATTTTTTTTCTATTAATATTTAGTTGTGTGATCTAATTACGAAATAGTAATAATTCATTGTTTATATAAAGCTCTAATTCAGTAAAGTTAAACAACAAAATCTTCTGGTTGGTATTTTAATGGATGATCCACAATTACACAAATTTTACACAACATTTAAGAAATTTTTCAACACAACCTATTTTGTAACAAACCTTAAAGTCCACTCATTTTTTATTGTATTTATCATAGGAAACCGTTTATTCTCTCGTCTTTTTATTAAATAATACAAAAGTATAAAGCGGTGACTTTCACATCATACCTTATTTATGCAAAACATGCATTATTAAACATATTGTGCATTTGCAACTAATTGGAAAAACGTGATTAACATTGTCGGTTTATTTTTAAGTTCGAATTCGCAATTTATCATTAAAAACTTTTAAACCACTAATAATCAGGTAATTCCACGAAACCGAGCGTCTCTTCATTTTTATTTATAAACAATGCATTTCATTCGAGATCTGACTGTACGTTAACGAATACAAAAATTACATTTACCTGCGCGATTTTCAACTGATTTAAAATGCGAATGGAAATGTTCTGATTCTCTTTGGTTGATGTTGACCGGACGCTAATGCATCCCCGTTTACGGTTCTTTTTTTTCTTTTACTTTTTCTTTTGTTCCTCGGAGTGAGTGACTTTGAAACTGGTTGCAAAAGTCGATGGCCTGTTTATAACGTGGGTTATTCCCAAGAAGCTACACGAAATTTCCACTAAATTCATTACAAAAAATACAATCTGTTGATTTAGCTTTTATTGTTTACAATTAACGAGTAATTTGGATTAGATCCAAATCATTTAGCTTAAGTCGGTAAATTTGAAATTCAACTTACGTTTCAATGGAGAATTAACATGTACTTTTGTTGTGAGGGCATCCGGTAAAGTGTAAAACTGCACTGAAATCGAGCGTTCGGGATTCGAGTTCTTCGCGATGCGCGATGATCGGCATTAGTGTTTATTAGTTGGCCGGTTTATACGAGCGCCAAAACCAGTCTGAATATATTTAAGTTGTCTTCCACAACAGCCAGGGGATTACACGAAAATTGCTGGAAACTGGTTTTGCATGCGGAATGTAAGAAGTGGATACAAAAAAATATGAGTATACACACACACACACATATAATTAAGAATAACAAAATCATGTGCTCAAGGCCAAGAGGGATCCCCAAAGGTCATAAATTGACCCAATAAGTTCGCGAAATCGAATCGTACGCAGAACGAATTTGATTGCAGTTAATTAAGAAATTAATTAAGGAATTAATTTCAAAGAATTTTTTTTTAACGTATTCAATTAATTACATTGTGCTACTGCAATGTGGGTTATTTTTTTTTTGTCTTGCTAAGACAACCAATTACAAATTGTATATCATTTTCATCTTAGATTATACCTCTATTACAGAGCAATTACGTTCGCTTAGAGACAGCAAATATATTATTAACGATCATTTTTCGAAGTTTAAAATTCAGAATTTAATTACAAACTAAATACAACAACAGTTTTAAAGTTCTTGATTGTCTGGTTTCAGACAGTTTCGGGATATTGGCGGAACTGATTGTCTAAACCAGTGGTTTCCAAACTTGATGTTTCAGCTTTCATATGCATATATTGGATTCATTCTATCTATTATAGTTTTCGAGTAAATCATTGAAATGTGAAAACACTGCTTCCTCGAACGTTCTAATTTCAATTTTTAACTTTGAACGCGTATTACAGCAATATGGATAAGAGCACATGAATGTATCTATACTTGTTGGATTCCTTAAACATTCAGCTTTCATATGCATATATTGGATTCATTCTATCTATTATAGATTTCCAGTAAATCAATGAAATGTGAAAACACTGCTTTTTCGAACGTACTAATTTCAATTTTCAACTTTGAACGCGTATTACAGCAATATGGATTATAGCACATGAATGTATCTATACTTGTTGGATTCCTCAAACATTCAGCTTTCATATGCATATATTGGATTCATTCTATCTATTATAGTTTTCGAGTAAATCAATGAAATGTGAAAACACCGGATGCAAATAAAAAAGATGAAATACGTTGGGTTATTGTATAAAAAAGCAAAATCAAACCTTCTTTCTCGCAACTCCGCAATTGTTTTAATGAAAACAAACCTACAAATTGAAGTGGAATAATATCAAACTGTCACATACTAAATTCAATCTAGTTTCTAAAAACATATCGATCAACAATCAAAAGAAATTAAATGTTTACTTTAAGAAAAAAAAATGTGTATATTCTCAATGTTAGTTATTGTTGAAATATTTTCGTTATTTTTGAAATTAAATCAAACGATTTTCCTATAAATTTTAAATTTCAATTAATAACATTAATAATTGAATTATTAATTATAATTAGTAAAGTACGAATTTCTTCAATATTGTTCGATCTTGAATGATTTTGATATTAATGTTCATAGTAATTTCATTTTTCGATGTATTGTCAATGAACATTGGTTCTTATAGTAAGAAATACATTTTTTAAATATATATTAAACCAATTTTTTAAACTTTTCCGTTTTTTTTTGTCAAAGTTTAGAAAACTTAACGAGTTTAATCCATTCCAAAACATAAAAAATACACGTAATATGTGTACACAATGATGTGGTCTCTCTTCTCATCGTCACTCGTTATGCGAAACGTCGCTCGTTAAGCGAATTATTTTTCTTACAATTCGTTATGCGAGGTTACACTGTATATAAATTTTACCTAGCAAAATGTATTTGTCTAATCAACAGGTTAAATTCTCTTTTTTTTTCAATTAATTTAACAATATTTCTTATTTTAATTACCTCCAAGAAAACATCATTAGTTCTATTATAAAGGCTCGTTTTTTGTTATTTTTTAATAGATTTTTCGTATTTTTCTTAAATTTTATAAGACAGATAACTTTACTTAACAAAATTGATTACTTATTTTCTTAAAACAGAAAATATTATACCTCTTTTTTGCAATTAATCTAACAATAAATGATCATATTTAGAAATATTTATTATACTTTTAAAAACTTACCAACGTGTTTTAAATAAATTATTATTCTAATGCACTTATTTAGAAATATTCAAATATTCTTGAAGTTGCAAATCATTCGAGCATTCATCATAACTGATTCTTCCAAAACCTACGTACTTCCACTTACTTACATGCAGAAGCAGCAAGTGCGCATGCACGACAAGAACAGGATATGAGTTTTTCCCCAAAATTTCAATTTATTTTTTCTTGTAATTTTCTCTCTTTCTCTTTCTATAAAATAAACATTTTCTTCGATACAAAACAATAAACGCGTTATTTTCGTTCTTTCCGAACATCACCGAAAATAAAAACCTGATCGTGATTCAACGCAGCAACATATCTTTAATTTAATTGCAGAACAATTCGAGTATTTCATACGAGCAAAATATATATATATATTTAGAATAAATATCGCAACGAAAACATTAATCAAATTTGTTTTCGTTGCCAGAACAACATTATTAAAATATTGGTAATATTTGTTTATATGTAAATTGTTCATTTGTACCGAAAACACTAACGTAGAAGGCTGTTTGAAGTAATGCCAAGGGCGTCAAAACCGGAAGATATCAAAACGCAGAAAATGATGTTTATAAATAACCACAGAAGACGACAACAATTGCTGTAAATCCTTAAGATATTCTAAAGAATTATACTTATTTAGTTGATTATAATTTTACATACAAATTGACCAACAATGTTTTCTTATATTATCTTTTACATATAATAAGAAATATTCATTACAATTAAACTAAATTGAATTATAATTATGTAATATGTTCTAAATATTGAATACAGCAATCCCCCGACTTACGAACTCCCGAACTTACGTACAAAATTCTAACAGCTCTAACTAGATATAAAGTGTTAAAAAACAATAACTGTCCAAACAAAAATTGAGAATTTCTTTAATAAAATATAATATTTTTGAAAGATGTATCTGATTTGTTGCATTTCTTTATTTTGTCGTTTTTAAAGTAAGTATTTTAATCTATTTTTTTTTCAAATTATCATATGGAATTTAACATATATAAAAGTAAAAACCATGATAAATAAGATAAGTATATTATAGACAGAAGTATTGCGTAAGTCGGGGTATACTAAACATATTTGAAATTATTAAGTTAATACTATTTTCATCAAAAACTCAATTACTTAACTTGACAAAACACATTTCAATTTATTTAATTTTATTAATAAATTTGCGTCACTTTTAAATTTGTTTACAACATCAATACAATATTGATATGGATTAGCAGAAATACCCTGGACCCAGCGTAAATGCAAAAAAAAATACTTTTTACCATAACAGCATGACACGAACGATGATTAATTTTACTTTTATTTTTAGTATTGCTACTTAATTGTGAGTAATATTTTTGCGGTGAAACTAATAAAAAAATCCATAGATTATATGAAATAGACATTAATGTTGTTTGTTTTTTTGCATTTAATTCTATTACAAGATTTAAAATATTAATTTATTGTTTATTTTTTAATTTATAATTGAACAATTTGACAAAAAGTTATTGAATAACAATATCATTATAATAATACAGTCAATTTGTATTTCAATAGTTTGTATATTCTAAAATAGATTAATGTGGAAAAAAAAAACATTAGTTTATTTGAACTACAGTCAACTCTCCTATAACGCGGTGAGTGCGTACCGCGTTATATGGAAACCGTGCTATAAGAAACTCGGATTTAACCGTAATTCGTAGCGTGTTCTATGGAAACCGCGTTATAAGGAACTCGGAATTAGTACAAATCACATCATTCTTACCGCGTTATATGAAGACCAATAAATACAAAAGACAAGATAAATTATAAATTATTTAAGGATTGATTAAAAAAAATGAAACAAGAACTAAACTAAAAGACTGTTTTTCAACAAAAGCAATGAAGACTTTCGTAAAATTATGTAATCTTTCAACACTCATCCTCGCTGTCAGATATGAGTCGCCTAACTCGTCTTCTTTTAATGGGCAAAATGTCTTCATCATTTAGTTCATCTTCACATTGGTTTTCGATTGTAGCTTTTTCTTTCTAACTCCACTAAAACCTCTCTATTTGGGAGCTAATCAATTTCTTAACTCTCTTTTAAACTTTGCTCTGCGCTTTGTGTTGAACGATCAGTTTGAATGAAATGAAGTTCTAATTCTTTAGCCAAATTTAGCCCTTTTTTCACATCTTGTAAATCGAGATTTGGCACCCATTCGTTTTCCTTATTTTCGTTTACCAATGCATTCGAGATGGATGCATCAATTAATTCCATCAGTTCTTCCTCATCTAAAGTTTCTTCCCCGAACACTAGTTCTCTTACATCCTGATGATTTACTGCAAATTCTTCATCGCTTAAACGAGAAGCAATGTTTACTATTTCTGTAACTGGGAGTGAAATTGTAGAAT